ACCCCTGCAGGGAAGCTGCTCACGTCTGGCCACAGGGCGCAGGCCTCCAGGACCCTCTCTAGCCACAGCGGGTCCAGCTTCTGCCTGAAGCACACACTCTCTACCACAGACGTGTTCTGGACCCAGGCCTCCTGGGGCACGTAAGCCACGGAACCCTAAAATGCAAACTCACTTGGCCATTAAAAGGCTGATAGGGATGGAGGTAGGAGCGATTTTGGAGAAGAAGGAGAAGCGGGGAGGCAGGGGACAGGAGTGGGGGGGAAGGGGGGAGAGGGAGGGCTTTTAGAATGGGAGACATTCTAGCAGACAGGCAGGGGGGCAGCCTCACCTTGATCCTCACCGATCCCTCCACTTTTGACAGCTCCCCAAGGAGGGCAGACAGCAGGGCGGACTTCCCTGCCCCCACGGCACCGACAACAGCCAGCAGACGACCCTGGGGCACAGTGAGGTTGATCCTGGCAACACAGGAGGGGAGACATGTCCCTGGGGCCCAGCGTGAGTCTGTGCAGGACTGGAACCTCGGACGGAGCCGGCCTTTCCCGTTGGCAACTCATCCGGAGATCCTTCGCTCTCCCAGTCCGTCCGGCGACTCAAGCGGCCTTCTTGCCCCAAGCACGCGCACGTGCACGCACACAAGCGCACACGTATAAGGCACACACGCATGCAGCTTCCCACACAGACCACACACATGTGCAAACACGAACACACGCATGGACACATATGCGTGCGTACATTTACAAAGACACACAAGCACACCTGTTCTAACTCACACACATGCACACATGCTCACACCTGTATGTGCACACACACCTGCTTGCACCTATGAACACTTGCACACACACACACACACTCTCTCTCTCTGTTGTCACAGGAGGGTTTACCAGCCTTGCTCTCGTCTAGGTTACTGCACTAGGCTGCTCACCACTTGCCCTCTGCCCCTGCCCGTGGGCCGTAGCCCATCCTCCACCCTGTGGCCACAGGGACCTGTTAAAACCCAAGGGGGATCATGAGGCTCCCTTGGCTCAAGCCCTCCACTGCTCCCCATTTCACTCAGGAGAAAAGGTAATGTCCCAGCAGTTCATGAAGGACGCCCAACCTCCTACTGCTCCGTCCCTTAGCTGCTCTGCCTCGGCCACATTGACCTCCTATTTCTCAAAGGCCGCAGGCCAGTGGTTCTCAAGCAGGAGGGATTATGCTCCCCCCAAGTGTCATTTGTCACACCTGGTGGGGGGTTGCTGCTAGAAGCTGGTGGGTAGATACTGGAGGTTCTACTAAACATCCTGCAAGGCACAGGACAGCCCCTACAACAAAGAAATCTCCAGCCTTAAGTGTCAACAGTGCTGAGCCAGATAAACCTTGGTCTAGGCACATTCCTGCCTCAGGACCTTTGTACTTGCTGTTTCCACTGCCTACAAAGCTCTTCTCCCAGACACCTGCAAGCCTCATTCCTTCCCTTTATCATCACCTTACTACTCATGCCTCTCCCTCGACATCACTCCCTTACCCCGATTTCTCATTTGTGTGCCCCCATCAGAAGGTCAACCCCAAGAGAGCAGTGCCCGTGTTTGTTTTCTTCACTCTGTCCCCTGGGCCTCCTGGGGTCTGAGCTTCCCATCTCCAGGAGTTCTCCATCTCTAGGAGTCTTGTTCTTCCATCTCCAGGAGTCTTGCTTCCCCCAAACTCTGCCCGGGGCTGGTCCTACCAGTCTCCCTGTCAGCCCCAGGGCAGACTAACCCACCCTCCAGTGCCCAGCTGTTGGAAGCTGCTGGAGCCTCTCGCATCTTCCTCCTGCTGACGGGAGGGGAGTGAGCAGGGAGGCCGTGCCGTACCTGTGCAGGCAGGGTGTGCTCCCCCGGGACCAAGCGAAGGTGCCGTCGTGAACGCTGATGCAGGTCTCCCCAGCAGCTGCGGGGCGGAATGGGGAAACCAATCGTGCTTGGTGAGTCTCATCACACAACGGTGCCCGTAACCTCTCCGATTTCATTTTCTAGCTCGAGGAACACATGGCCATGCTTGTCTCCCTGGCCTTTCTGCACGAGGGCAAGGACCTGGTCCGCCCAGAGGGGCACATAGTAAGTGCTCACGAGTCACTGCTGAATGACCGGGGAGAAAGCAGCATCACCGCCCGTTTCCGTGGTACACGGCTGCCGGCCTCGCCTGCACGGGCCATCCTGGCGCCAGCAGCCCGCCCCAGCTGGGACCCTGGCATTTGGTCGGGGGGCTGCAGGGGCGCTGCCGGTCCCGTCATCCCTCCCGCACGCCTCCTGCCGAACTCTGCACTCACAGCATCTGGAGGGACTTGAGTCCACAGCCCCAGGGTCCACTTCTTCCAGGCAGAGGAAGGCGGCCAGACGGTCAAAGGACACCCGGGCCTGGGGAAACCAAAGCCCCAGGTCACTGATGCCCAAAGAGCAAAAAAAAGAACTCAGGCTTCGGGTGTCTGGTGCCTCAGGATGTGGAAAATCTTCCGGTCTCCCAAGCTCGATGCATTTGCCAGGCATTAGCACAAAGCTTTCTGGGTCACATGAAACAGTGCGCACGGAGGTGGGGACCATGAGGGAGACAATGACCTCCCAGCCCCTCTCTGCCTCATTAGCATAACAGGGACAATCGGGCTGCCATCCTGCAGATGAGACCCAGGAGGAGGATGGCGGCTTTTCCAAGGGAGTCATAGACCATTATCAGAAATGATTCCAAACTTCGTCCACCTAGGGCGGCCGTTTAAATGGGGACGCGTCAGCAAGGCAACTTGCTCTCAAGTCCGTCACGGCTCAGTGTGAGTGGGGACAGCAAGGGGAGAGAATCCACATAAAAATGCTGGGTATAGAAAGCGAACGGGCAGACTGGCACGACACTGGGTCCTCTGCCCCTCCCTGCTTCCCTGCTCTGTCTCCCTGCCTCTTCCTCCCTCCCCTGTCTGGCCTCCTGCTCTGTGGGCAGCGTGGGGCTGCATGGAGTCGGGCCTTCCTGCTACACCCCTGCAAGGCTGCCCCCAGGGGGCCTCCCCGCCCCGCTGCCTCACCTGGACCACGGCGTTGATGGAGAAGGGCAGGAAAACCTGAGCCTTGTTGAGGATGGTGAGGACTGTGAGGGTCACAAAAGCTTTCTCAGCATCCATGGTGTTCTCCTCGGCTGTGAGTGTATGGACAGCAAACAGAACCAGCGCGACCTGGGGCGGGGCACACGGGTGGTGACAATGAGCTGGAATGTTCTCCTCCATCCACCCCTCACCCCAAATTCTGCGAAGCCCCCTGGCCTCGCTCCTAGTTCATGCAGCTGTGTAAGTGTTTCTTAAAGAATATGAGTGTTTTGGTGAAGGGAGATGCATGTGCAGCCCCCGTTCTAGGACCAGCAACTGTTGGTCCCAGGCATCCAGGGACACCATGGCGTTTGATCTTGGTAGGATGTGGAAGGTTCTAGACGTGGGTGGGACTTGGGGTTCTAGAACGCCTTGGAGATGACCCTGGAGTTGCGGGCATCAGTAGCACTCAAGGGGAGGGCCCTGGACAGTGGTGGCATCTGCAGTTCCGGATGTCACTGGGTGATGTCAGTTCTAGGTGTTGGCAGTGTTTCGGTTCTAGGTGTCACTTGGTGATGACACATGGTCCTTTGGTGTGATGGTGACTCAGCGATCCTGCCGGGGAGATCTCACGGTTCTGAGTGTTGATTGTGGCAGCGACATCAGATGCCCGCCCCCGGGGTGGCGGGTTCTAATCCTTCTGGAAATACTGATTAAGGCCCGCCTGCCACCAGCCTTGAATATCTTATGAGGAGTTTGGATTATTTATTTATTCATGCAGCAGTGAGTCACTGCAGATTTGTCGGCAACAGCGTGACTGGAGTCAGAGCCGTGCCTTTAGGAAGGTTGATCGGGCAGCAGTTTGTGAAATGAACTGGAGAACGGGACAGGCCCCATGCCCCCTGTGGGGCCGCTGCACCCGCGTGACAGCCGGTGTCAATGTGGACGTGGGGTTCTCCCTCTGCAGCTTCCCGCCCCTGTGGCCTCGTCCCCGTGCCAGATGCCTGGAACCTTAAACAGGAGAAAGACGGACCTTATTAGGCACTGCCGCCTTCGGGGGCATCGTCTAAGTGGTTGGCTAACTCCGCACAAAGCAAGCATCCCTGACAGAGGGAAGGATCTAGGAGAGGTACATTTTGATGGATGGGGTGGTCTGCAAAGAAAAGCTCCAGGATCTGGCCGGGGGCGGCAGGGGGCTCCGCCTACCTCATCCCCCCCGAGCATTCCCTCCCTTAGTCTATGCTCTACCGAGAGACCAGGGTGACCTCACCAGAAACGTGGACACTTGGAAGGACACCAGAGACACAGAGAAGAGGAGGTTGGAGGTCCTCAAGGCGCCCAGCTCCTGGCCCCGGATGCGCAGGATTCTTTCTAGAAAGGCTCCCTCCCAGCCATGGGACTTGATGGTCTTCATATTCCTGATGATGCAGCTGGTGAGCCGCGCCCGAGAATCCTTCTGCCCCATGTGCTCTTCCTAGGACCAGAGGGAAGAAGAGGGCAGAGGTCAGGGAAATGTCAAGAATTCTCCTGCAAAACCATCACACCCCACCTTCAGCAAATGCGGTTGATTCTTCCTGCACACCAGGACCCAAGCTGTCTGCCTCTCAGCATCGCTGTCCCCACTGTCCTGGCCCAAATCACTGTCATCTTGCCCCTGGACCACAGGGTGCCTCCTCCCCCCTGTCCCCGTGCTTCTGCCGTGGGTGACAGATGATGCACCATCAAAGAGGGAAGCTCCCAAAGACCAGGAAAGGGGTGGAAAAGGCAGAGCCCTGAATCAGCCTGGGTGTGGTGACATCTGGAAGACTTCCTGGAGGAGGGAGTGACGCATGAGCTATGAGGAGGAGGAGGTGCTGAGCACACAAAGAATGGGTGGATGAGGTGGATGGGGAAGATGGAGGGGACAGCATGACCCAGAGGACAGGCAGTGTGGTCCGGGAGGGTGTGGGGTTTGGGGGAGGTGGGCTGGACCGTAGTGGGACTTGGAGGTCAGGCAGAGGAGTTGGGGCTGTGTTTCCCTGTGTCTCACCAAGGAGGTGCATCATCACAGGGGCCGGTGTGGAGAAGGTCTTAGAGGAGGCCAGACAGGAGGCTGGAGCAACAGTGTATGTGAGACCGACCTTCCTCCTCCTGACCTCCCTCCCGCCCTCCCTCCTTCCCTCCTTCTAAGCGCCAGGCGTCATTCTAGGAGCTGAGATTGCATCAGTGCCTATTTCTTCCTGCAACGAAGGTTCCAGTCGCAAGAAAGAGAGACAGCAGCCAGAAGAGCCAGGCACAAAGTGACAAGTGCTATGGAAGCAGACATCACAGGCCAAGTTGATGAGCAGCTGGGTGTGAAGGGGAGGGACACATTGCTACGGTAATCGGGGGCCAGTGAGGGGTGGGGGTGGGGGAGACTGGGACATCTTGCGGGAGGGCAGTCCAGGCAGAGGGAACCAGAGGAGTAAAGGCCCTGAGTGGAGCTTGAGGATCAGGGGGAGGGCAGTGGGGGGGTGGAGTGAGCCGGGGCAGAGGGCCAGGAGGTGAGGCCAGATCCCAGCTGGCCTGCTGGCCACCTCAGCATCTTGGCTTTGACTCTGAAGGAGATGGGAGCCATTGGGGTTCTGAGCTGAGAGGGGTGTGTGAAGAGGCCCGGGAAGGGACGAGGGCAGAAGCAGAGACCCAGGGAGCGTGAGACAGGGGCAACGCTCTGGATGCATCTGCTGATAGGTGGCATGTGAGAAAAAGAGGCATCAAAGCTGGCTCGTGGCCTGAATGCTGGAGGGGTGCATCAAGTACCCGAGATGGGGGTACTGGGTGGAAGGCGAAGGTCTGAGTGACGGGAAGGCTCACGCCACCGTGCCCCCTCCCCTCCTCACCTCCCTGCACCTCGCCAATGCCAGTCCCATGACCTGCAGGCTCCCCTTCCCACTTCCTGCCCAGCGTGGCCCTTCTCCCAAATAGCACACCTGATGCTGTTTCCTCTTCTTGGTGATGAAGAAATTCAGAGGGAGGAGGCTCATGAAGACAGCGATGGCAGTGAGGGCAGAGGGTCCTAGAAGCTGGAGACAGAGCAGGTGGGATGCCACAGGACATGTCCAAGAGTGCAACCCCACGGGATTTGGTCAGACTTGGGTCCTAAGGCAAGGGACGCCAGGAAGCTGATGAGAGCAGTCAATGGACACCTGCTGAGGATGGAGTCCTTCTCTGTCATGGAGGGGAACAATGCACTAGTCGTACTGGAGTTATATTCAAGCAGGTCATGCTTCTAGACAGGACAGTGCAAGGGTGCATGTCTGGCCAGAACGGTGAAGTCGAATCTGCAGAATCAGGGTCTGAGTTCAAATCCTGGCCCTGGCGCTTACTGGTGTGGCCTTGGGCAAGTTATTTACCCTCCCTAAGCTGCAGTGTCCTCATCTGTGAAAGGGAAATCAAGCGTTGCCCATCACATATACTAAGTGCCCATGTCATACAATCAATTATTATCCGAGTCTTCATTTTACCCCTGACAAGGTTGCCAGATTTAGCAGGAAAATAACCCAAAAAACCCACAACATAGGATACCTAGTTCAGTTTGAATTTCAGATGAAACAGCAAATGTCTTCTTAATATAAGTATATCCCATGCTATATTTGGGAAATTACATTTATATTATATTAGATATATAATTTATTTGTATTTATTATATCATAATATATATTTATATTTATATTATAATTATTATACCCCATGCTGTATTTGGGAAATTAGTATAAGTATATCCCATGCTATATTTGGGAATAAAGAAATTATTCAGTTTCTCTGAAATTCGTATTTAACTGGACATCCTGTGTTTTGTCTGGCAGCCCTAACCCCCCACCAGCTTCATGACTTTGGGACAGTTATGTTCCCTCTTGGCTTTTGTTTCTCTATCTGGAAAATGTGGGGGTGGGGGGTAGGGTAAATGATTTCTAAGAGGTTGTGACTGAAATTCCACTCAAGGTCATCTGCATCCAGTTTCTAGAGAAACCCCACCGCTCTTCAAACCATGGCCCTCAGTTTCCCCTCTCAGCCTGTAAGGACTCTATTTCTGTAATCTCCTTAACAACCGAGCAAGCCAGTTTCATTTATGCAACAATCGTGCCACCCAGTGGCCAAGTTTCGGAGAAGTGCCCAGAAGGCAAACACCAGCCCCCAGCCAGGGTTGGGAAAATAATCCAAGGAGGGTGAGGGTAAGGTGAAACTTTCTCTGGCAAAAATAGTATCACTTGGAAAACATGTTACAGTTGCTAACTGTGGCAACTTTGATGTCCATCCTCCCACTTAGCCAGATTTCAGGGTGACCCACTGATGTTAGGGGACCATCTGCTGAAAGGCCCGGGAAGTGATGGGTGTGTCTTCTGCAGATTTGCTGGGGGGGAGGGGGGAGGGTCTGTGCGCTCATATGCTCTGCATTTTCCTGTCTTTCCTTGCCCTCTCTCTTCCTAACTATAACATCTAACATTTATTTATTTATTTATTTGGAGAGAGAGCACATGCTTGAGAGGGGGGAGGGGCAGAAGGAGAGAATCTTCACTGAGGCTCCCTGCTCAGTACGGAGCCCGACGTGGGGCTTGATCTCACGACCCATGAGATCATGACCTGAGCCAAAACCCCGAGTCGGATGCTCAGCCGACTGAGCCAGCCAGGCACCCCTCACATCTAACATTTATGTACTGCAGGTCAGGAACTGTTTGAAGCGATGCTGGGCCCTGGACACAAGGTAGCAAGTCAGAGAGGGTCCTGGCCCCATGCCCCATGGGGTCGGGTCGGGACAGTAGGAGGAGATGCGGTACAGTCACCATGATGTACAGTGAGCAAATACCACTGGATGGAATTGGGGAGTATTCCACGCTCACAGTCAATATGCCACTGATACCCCCGCCTAGGGGTCTCTGAACTATGGCATACCTGCCAGAGATAGACAAAGCAGATGATCATCCAGATGATTGTTATCCAAGGCCCGTTAAGGTAGATGACACTCTCCATCAGTCGCTGTACATCCACGGACACCAGGTTGACCACGTCACCCACTGCACTGACCTTTCTGGAAGCGCTGGAGAGGACCAGGACCTGGGCAGGGTGGGAGGATCGAGACCTAAGTCGGAGGGAAGGACAGGACGAGTTCGGTGGAGTGAGGCAGGGGGACCCACAGCACAGACGGAGCAAGGGCACGGCAGCCTGGCAGGCCTGGGTCAAAGCTGGTCTGCCCTTGCTGGCAGAGGCAGGTCTCTGTGCACTCATCTGTAAAATGGGCCAGTAAACCTCCTAAGCCGCCCTCCTGGGGGCCGTTGTGAGAATTCAGAGAGATGACAAAAACGGAAATGCTCTGAGATCCCTAGAGCATTGGAATGATAAGTCAATAGCATAACACGTCAAACCCTGGGGTTTATGACCATAATGGTGGTCCTTTGCTGAGTGCTCCCTACGTCCCAGGCCCTGTGCTAAGTGAGGATTGTCATCGTTTTCTGGGATGGAGCACATCCCACAGCCAGATGGAGCAGGGACCGCCGCATTTCATTCCATCTGCAATGCCATGGATAAAACGCTCAATTTTTGTATCACTAAGGGGAAAAAAAAATCAGTGCAATTAACTTAAAACACACGAGACACATCTTGATTTCAGAAGGGTTAAATAAGTGAGACGAGAATCAGTGAAATGCAGAATGACTCCATTTTACAGCCAAGGAAACTGAGGCACAGAGAAGTTGACCAACTTGCCCAAAGTCGGAGGGCTTATTAAAGGCTAGGCCAAGCTTGGAATCTGGGATATGACCAAGGCCAGGCACGAGCTAGACAGGGTGGTAGACCAACCCCTGCAGGCATTTCATGTGCCCCTCACACCCCAACCTGGTTCTCTGGCAGCCTCAGATGTGCCCCGGCCCTGGGGTCACAGTGGACCCCAGCCAGCCTGTTGAATGTGAGGTTCTATTTGCAATCCTCTCTGCTGAGTGTGTGAGGGAAGAGGTAAGGGGGTGAAGGAGTGAGCCCGAATGAATGAGTAGAAAATCTCCAAAAAAAAAAAAAAAATCTTCGGGGGCACCTGGGTGGCTCTGTTGGTTAAGCATCTGCCTTCGGCTCAGGTCATGATCCCAGGGTCCTGGGATTGAGCCCTGTGTCGAGCTCCCTGCTCAGTGGGGAGCCTGCTTCTCCCTCTCCCTCTGCCTGCCGCTCCCCCTGCTTGTGTGCTCTCTTTTTCTCTCTTTCTGTCAAATAAATAAATAAAACCTTAAAAAAAAAAATCTTCAAATCTTTATTGAGTACCTGCAATGGACCTCACAATGAACTGAGTACTAAGAATATAGCTGTGAACAACAGAGGCAGGTGGCTTGTTCTCCCAGGAGCAGAGTTTGAGTTGGGAAGGAAAATTAAATAAAGACTTACATAGTTCATTCTTCTTCTTTTTTTTTAAGATTTATTTATTTATTTATTTTATAGAGTGTGCGTGCACATGCTTGCGCATGAGTGGGAGAGAGGCAGAGGGAGAACCAGACTCCCCATTGAGCAGGGAGCGACCCGGGACTTGATCCCAGGACCCTGAGATCATGACCTGAGCCAAAATCAGAGGAGTCGGAAGCTTAACCGACTGAGCCACCAAGGTGCCCCATACCTCATTCTTTAATGACAATTATGAGGAGTGTTAGGAAGAAATGTTTTAAAATATTATTCAGTAATATTATTCAATTATTATTATTATTATTATTACCTATTAGCAAGGTAAACTATGGGCCAGGGCCTTTATGGTGATTTTCACAGGAAGGAAGGGCCAAGCAGGGGAAGCAGGATTGGCTCGTCTGAATAATCTTGGTGGGCTCTGGGACCCAGGAGCTGTCCCTTGTGGTCCAGTACCTGGCCCTGGGGTGAAGAGGGCAGGTGTGTGGTGGCCCGGAATGTTGAGAGCACCATCAAGGGGGCGATTGGGAGTGTGAGTTCTGGATTGTTTGGTTGGCATGTGAAAAGTATGCGCCCAGTGAGTCATTTACTACCTCTAGGCACTGGCTAGCCCTGGGCTGGGCGAGAGACCCTCCAAGGTTGCCAACGCCCCTGATAGCAAAGCATTGGATGTAGAAAATAAGAAGACACGGTTAATGCGGTTAATGTGGAGGCAGCCCAGCAGGAAGAGCCGGGGTCTGACTTCTCCAGAGATGAGCAAGGCTTCCCTAAGCTTGAGCTCGGGTGCCCTTGCTGGGGAGATGCGGGTCTGAAACCCAGCAGGCAGGCCATCTGGGGATCTGCCCCTGCAGCCATCCAGGAGCTGTTCCCTCCACTCTGTTTCTCCCCCAGGGAACAGCACAGGTGCGAGAGGATTCTCATGGGGACTGAGGCGCCCTGACTCCGGTGCTCCAGACCCCGGCAGATCATCTTGTAAGCTTCACTTCCAGGGCTCCCGAGGGGATAAGAGTCACTGCACCAAGAGAAGCCCAAAGCCATGGCTATCCACCAGGTATTTGTACTCCACTGACAGAAGTTTCAGCCCTAATGAGTTTACCAGTAGGTCAGGAGTCATTTTTACCATAAGCAGTGTTGCCTGGTAACACAGCTGACAGCCCACTTCTATCTGGTTTCTGCACAGCCCCAAGATTAGCCCCTTCTCCTCATGGGGGGACGAGGGGAAGGTAGGTACATGAAAAGAAATGGAAAGTGTGTCCAGGTAGTAGGAACTGCAAGTGCAAAGGCCCTGAGGTGGGAGGTTGCCTGGTATGTTTGTGGCTGGAGTAGGTTGAGCAAGAGAAGGTATGTGATGTGAAAGAGTTGGAGAGGTCCCAGGGTCAGATCACTCAAGGTCTTAGGGAAATAACCAAGGAGGTGATAGTGTAGTCACAGAGTGACTACGAATGAGTAAAGTAATGAATGAGTGCATTTTCAGACACAGATGATATGATATGACCCTTCTTGGCTAGAATGTTTATACATAAATTGGGACAAGATTAGGGGGACAGGAAAGACCCACCCCTCACCCCTAAGGCTCACCTTTCTGTACACCAGGCCCGTGATGGCCGTTCGCAGCCTCATCTGCAGCACCTTGACCCTGTACATGAAGTGCTGCTCCACCAGCGATTGCAGGGAGGCAGACAGGAACATCAGCACCGCGAGGAGATACCCCTTCCAGGCTGGGGTCATGGGATTGCCCATAAATTCCAGAAAAAGGCTTTTGAGAGAGGGAGGGTACAAGTGGTGAGAGAAGTCACGCGTGGCTGTCCCCTTTGCCTGAGCCTGGCAAGGTGTGGAGGATCAGACAGCATGGTAGATAGCTTTGCCGAAACGGCTGCAATGGTTTCTCCCACCACCCGCACGCACTCACTTTCTTTTTTTATTTTATTTTATTTTTATTTTTTTAAAGATTTTATTTATTTATTTGACAGAGACAGAGACAGCGAGAGCAGGAACACAAGCAGGGGGAGTGGGAGAGAGAGAAGCAGGCTTCCTGCTGAGCCGGGAGCCCGATGTGGGACTCGATCCCAGGACCCTGGGATCATGACCTGAGCCGAAGGCAGTCGCTCAACCAACTGAGCCACCCAGGTGCCCCGCACGCACTCACTTTCAACCTGACTGCTGTTCCTTCAACCAAGGGGTGAGCGTTTTATCTCCACCTGTCATGGGCTGAATTGTGTCCCCACAAAATACCTGTGCTAAGTCCTAATCCCTGGTACTTTAGAATGCACCTCTATTTGGAGCCCAGGCCTTTCAGGTGGGGATTTAGTTAAAAGAAAGCTGTTAGGGTGGGACCCTAGTCCAATCTAACTGGTGTCGTTTTAAGAGCAAATGTGCACACACAAGGAGATACAGCGGGCATGCATGCACAAAGGAAAAACCGCGTGAGGACACAGCAAACCAAGAGAGAGGCCTCGAATAAAATCAGTCTTGATCTTGGACTTCCAGCCTCCAGAACTCTGAGAGGATAAATATGTGTTGTCTAAGCCGCCCAGCCCGTAATCCTTTGTTATGGTGGCCACAGCAAACAAATACACAATTCCCTGAATCTGGGCTGGTTGTACAACCAGCTTCAGCCCAGAAAACCCAGTGGAGGTGAGATGGTGTGAGCTCCAAGCCTGAGGCGTCAAGAGAAAGTGCAGCTCTTGGTCCAAGGCTTCGAGCCCTGCCAAGGGGCCATGCGAAGAACAGCCGGAGCAGAGCATATGGAGTGTGAAAGAGGATGTGGGGCAGAGCCAAGCTGTCCCAGCTGAGACCATCTGAGACCAGCCAGTCCCCAGCCAGCCGCCCAGCTGACCGCAGGCACATGTGTGAACCCGACTGAGAAACGAAGAACGGCCCAGCGGAGCCCAGCCCAAATTGCTGGCCCACGTTATCATGAGCACGAGACGTGGTTGTAAAACACTTTGGGGCTGTTTTGTTACACAGCAAACACTAACCGATACAGTCAGGTTAGAGTTCACTCATTTTCTCTCCCTGAGGTTTGTCACTTTCTCGTTTATTTTTTTTTTCCCTTCCTCAGTAGCCTTTTCACCCACCCTTCAGGACCCTGAGCTCTGGAGGACTAGGCAGAGGCAGAAGGAGAGCTGATGCCCCCCCCTACCCGCCCCCAGCTCTGGAAGGACACCACTAAGGAGGGGACCACCAGCGTCAGCAAAGCCCCCAAGGCCTGGACCCACCTGAGGAGCTTGGGGACAGAGAACCTGAAGACATCACAGATGATAAGGCTGAAGGTCGCCAGGAGGAAGGTGGAGCGAGACATCTGCCAGATGGCTCTCAGCAGCGGGCCCCTCTGGCTCCCTTCTTGCTTCAGCAAGGGCTGCATCTCTGGGGTCTCTACACCACAGCTTCCTTTCCTTTTAGCTGCTCTCGCCTTGGCACACCTTCAGGGACAGGAGAAATTGGCTCTGGGTCATTGCAACAGACTGAAGGTTTGCATTTCCAGCCCCCCCAAACTCATCTGTGGGAACCTTACCCCCAGTGTTGTGGTATTTGGAGGTGGGGCTTTGGGCAGGTGATTAGGTCACAAGGATGGAGCCCTCATGGATGGGATTAGCGCCCTGATAAAATGGGCCCCAGACAGTGCCTTCCTCCTTCTGCCAAGTGAGGACAGAGCGTGGACAAAGCCATCTAGGAAGCAGGCCCCCACCAGACACCACATCGGTGGTATTTTAAATATTCTTACAGGTGGCAGCTGAGTGTCCAGCAAGACCAGGCATTACAGGGCCGTCTTCCTGGCGAGGGGGACGAGTTGGTGTGGATCCAGCTTTGCTCCCTCACCTGTTCTTCTCTGTCCCCCAGAGGACTCCTTTATGAGACAACTGGGCAGGGGAGGGGCCAGGCAGGTGGGCAGCCCTAAGGCGTTACGGCTGGTGATAGGAATGCACAGGCATCGAGCACCTCCTGTGTGCCAGGCACGCCTTAGTCCTCCGAAGAAGCTGACAGGCACGGTGTTACGCCCATTTCACAGATGAGGAGATGAAGGTTTAGAAGGAACTAGTCCAAGGGCCCACAGCGGGAAAGCTGATCCCAGCCCTGGGCCTCCAGAGCCCAGGCACCTTGCAAGCCATTGATGAAGCTGCCCCTTTTCCCTCCCACAACTGGCTAGCCCGGAGGTGGTTTAGAGCTGGTCTGGAACCAGTTTAGAATCACAGCTGATGTCCGTGGCCCTGGCACTCTTGGTCTGGATGAAACCACAGGTGGAAGCTTGGGGAAGTTTCGGCAGGGTGGGTGGTGGAGAGCCAGCCGGACAGGTCCTCAGCTGCTGAGAGCCCAGGGGCAGACGACTGTCCTCTTTGGGCTTCTGTGTCCTTGTGCATGAAAGGACAGGGCTGGTCCCACTCTCAGCGCTCCTTCCAGCACCCACAACCTCTGGGGTTAGCAGTAATTTCAGTGCCTGTTTACAGAGCTGGGACCTGGGATCAGCCCTTTACCTGCACCAGCTTATCGATTTTTCTTACCCTCCCTGCCTGGTGGCTGTCATGGGCTCCCTGTTGTACCTAGGAGGACATGGAGGCTCTGAGAGTGGGTGGCAACTGCCTGAGGTCACACATCAAGGACCGAGCAGGGATTTGAGCCCAGATCTCAATTCATGGAGCACAGAGCACCTCTTTGACCACGGCCCAGCTTCTTGTTTGGTTTGGCGTCTCTGGAGGGCATGGCCTGCTGCCCACAAACATTTTGGTATTTGAGTCTCAAATGCCAAAAAGATGTCACCTTCTTGTCACCTGGCCACCTCTCCCCATCGGCCCATCGTTTAGTTCATTGCCTTCAAAGCCACGCTTACCCTCTCCAACCCTCATCTTTATGTATTTGTCTTGGGTAGACTTCGCTTGTATTCTCCCCACATTCGGCTCCTGAATGCAGTAGGTGATCAATAAATACTTGCCGAATGACTGGGAAAAAACAGTTGTGTGATGGGTGCCAAGGGCCTAACAGGTGTGCCCAGTGCATAAAGTTGTAAAGACGTGTGGAAGGAAGGAAGGCAACCTGGTCTGGTGGACAGCCAGGAGCCTGAGATTCAAATGCCTGCTCTGTCCCCTCGCCCCTGAGCCTCAGTGTTTCCATCTATAAAATGGGGTGGGCCAGGAGATGACTATGAAGGTCTCTTTCCAGCTGGTTTTTTTCACTCCATTCTGCTCTGGCTGCTCGCCCCAGAATTCTGAATCACTGTGTTCAACCTGCAGGCTCTGTTGCCAGCTCCCTCCTTCCCAGCGGGTCTCACATTCCATCATGGGAGGTCTCTAGATTGGCGTCTGGTCTTTGGTCTCTGGACTGAAGGCCATTTAGTGCAGGGCTTGCACAAGACCACAGGGAGAGGCAGGGGATGTGAGTGAGCGGCCAGGGTCCAAGTTGGGGGAGCAAAAGGGAGGGGTGTGGACTGCGGCAAAGCGAAGAGTGTGTGCCCTGTCCATTGGGGCAGCTGTTACCCAGATCCACTCCCTTGTTGCTATTTAGGGATGTGACTGGGCACTGCCAGTTTCCTTTATTTTTTCGTTTTTTAAAAGATTTTTATTTATTTTAGAGAGCGAGTGCAAGCGGAGGAGGGGCAGAGGGAGAGGAGAGAGAGAATCTCAAGCAGACTCCCCGCTGAGCACAGAGCCCAATGTGGAGCTCAATCTCACGACCCTGAGATTATGACCTGAGCCAAAATCAAGATTCAGATGCTTAACTGACTGCGCCATCCAGGCATCCCCTGCCAGCCTACTTTAAAAGAGACCAGAATTCCAGATTTTTACATGAAGTCTCCAGTGTTTTAAATGTTGGCACCTTAAAAAAAAAAAAAGTCCCAAATAACAACAACAGTAAACACCACGTGGACCAAACATACCTCTGTGACCCTCATCTGGTCAGCAAGTGGCTTGTTCCTGACTTCTCAGGATGACATCCTCTCCCTTCCCCCCAGAATTGCAAAATACTTTGGAAATAAAACCAAAGTTCTCTTCATGTGTAATCAGTCAGCTCCGAAAATAACTGAGCTGGATCTCGGTCTGGCCATGCCTTCCTCCTTTCTTTCTGTCAGTTGCTACGGATTCTTAAACTGTTGTGAAGAATGTTTGTGTCCCAAGTTCTCGTGCCCCAAGGGGAGGTGACAGCTGGGAGAGAGTGGGCAGGACCTTGAGGGTCCTTCTGAATGAATTCTGCCACTTAAAAATCTTGTATGAGTGGAGGGGCAGGACAGCAAGATAGGCCTGGAGAATGAGTTGCTGTTTTGATTTGCTCATATCATTTACCCCTTTTGCGGAATCACACCCTACTGTGGCTCTGAAGGGACCGCCAAGTATGGGGGCCTGACCCTGGCTATGGTACTGGTCCCTGATTGGCACATGACTGGAGCCAGCCAATCAGAGGCCTTCCCTAGCATTTTCTATATGGATGCTAGGAGAGACACTCATTTTGCAGGAGTTGCTACACTGGCAGGATATGAGATAGGCCGCAGCACAGACATCAGCTGAGCTGAGAGATGGAGAGAAAGAATTTGAACATTATGCAAGTCCCTGGATCCAGCCACACCTGAAGCTAGACTACCTTCTCAATTATGTGAGCCAATAGACATTTCTCTCTCCCTTTTTCTAATTTGTAGGATTCAGCTATCTACAACAACTGCCCCAAATCCTAGAGTATACAGGAGAACCCTGTAACTCTTCCCATAGAGCTAAGTCACTTTTGTCTGTCCCCTGAAACACCAAGGTCATGTGATTTGTCCAAGGCCATCAACTACGCAATGGCAAGACTGCATTTAACCCACGTTTAATGAATCCTATGTTGACCGCTCTTTTCGGTAGGTCAGAGGTTCCCAGACTGGGTTTCTCAGAGTCAGAGGGGACCACAGAAGTTTCCAGAGATGCCACAGAGGGCAGGAGTGAGGCAGAGTGGACAGGACTAGAAAGAGCTTGAAATCCTCTGGATAACGGATACTCGGTCTGGCCATGCCTTCCTCCTTTAGTGAGGTATTCACTAAATTCGTTTCCAAAATCCACATGAGCTATGAGCCAGGGCCTAATGGCATGCCCACTGAACAGATGAGAAAACCGAGGACCAGGAAACCAATCCCTCAGGTTAAGTAATAAGTAGCTGCATGCATGTTATGGACCACCACCCAACCCTCCACTCCCCTACTCCCCGCCTGCCCCCATTTCCTGCCTGCCATCCCCCCATTCAAGCTTCCTTCTGGGGGCCCCGAGGAGCACCCACTGTGTCCTTTGAGAGCCTGCAAAGCTCTCTGGAAGGAAACGTCCCTTGACCCTAGTTAGTTATTGCTTAGTGGGATCGGCTGTCAGGTAGGGGCCTATGGCACTGGAGCCCAGAGTAGGGTCTGGGGTTGTATTTGGGGCCAGATGATGAACTTTGCTCACCAGGCATGGGGCCACGCTCTCATTTTTCACACACTCACCGCTGGGCCGCACTGCGGTTCCTTTTCCATTCCCTTTCGAACTGGGAAACAAGTTCTTCTGAGGAGTTTTCTCGGCTAAGCGACCAGAGGTCTTCTGGCCCCAGCGGCCTCCTGTAGCCCCTCCAGACCAGCCTGTGAAAGGTCACCAGGGCAAGCTCCTGAGGCCATTCCCCCTGCAAGGTCCTGACCTGGTCCAGACCCCTCTGCACCTCTGCTGGCCCCTCAGGAAAATGAAAGCAATTAACCTAACCACACCTAACATTTGTGGGGCACTTCCCAGTTTACAAAGAACCATCTCATTAAATCTCATGTGATAACTATTGACCCATTTTACAGATGAGGAAATAAAAAATCGAGGCTCAGAGAGATTAAATGACTTAAACAAGGGACGACCTGCGTGGCGAGGGAAGTAAACCTCCCTAGGCGTCAGATGTCCGGAGTTGGACACCTGAATTCTACCCTCAGCTTTCCCCATTATAAATTCCTTTCCTGAGCTTTTCTTTATAATACTTGCTGCAATTATGATTTACTTTTTTGGTCTGGTTATTTATTGAGTGTCTTTCTCCATTACCATTGAATGGTAGGCTCCACGGAGACAAAGAGTATTTACCTTTATTCTCCTCCTCTGTATCCTCGCCTCCTGACACAGGGCAAAAGGTTTGTCAAATGAAGCCATTTACCAGGTCTGTGACCTTGGGCAAGTCACTTCCCATTAGACCTCAGTTTTCTCACTTGAAAATGAAGAGTTTCCCAACACTTGAGACTAGTACGTGAGATGATTGTAGATGGCACAGTGTTGGAGGAGGTCATGGAGAGGACGTGACCTCTGGTTGTCCCGTAAGCTGGACGGGGGCAATCGGAGTCTCCTCACCTGTCCCCTGTCCTTGGAATGGATGTTCTGCCCACTCTGCCATTGCAAGGAAGCAGCCTTGAGACAGCAATGTGTTATCGAGACCATCTGGATGGTAGATGGGACTGAACCCTGTTGAACCCTCCGCATAAACTAAGATTCTGGCGGGGAAGGTGCAGAGATCTCCTCGTCTTGTGGCCGCCCAGGACAAGTCTCGCAAGTTCCCTTGCTTATTAAAGCTGTCACCTGCCAATAGGAATGGCCTTCCTCTTTCTTCAGTCTCTCCTTGCCTTCCAGGTATGGGGGCCAGTTTGCGAACCAACACACATAGACAAGAAATTAATTACTATAGACTTCTGTGGCGGGAGTGTTGCTTCTCAGGTCTCTGTGATCTTTCTGGTAATACCAAGGAAAAGGTCTCGTTTGGTGCTGGTCCTTAGTTCCCTGTCTGAGACTTTCCAAGTTCCTTTTTCTTTTTTTTAGAGAGGTGGGGGACAGACGGAGAAGGAGAGAGAATCTTAAGCAGGCTCCATGCCCAGCACAGAGCCCAATGCAGGGCTTGATCTCATGACCCTGAGATCATGACCTGTGCCGAAATCAAGAGTCGGACGCTTAACCGACTGAGCCACCCAGGCGCCCCTCCAAGTTCCTTTTTTTGTTTAATCCAGGGCAAACTCAGGCAATCTAGTGCTGATCTAGAAGTTATTAACATGGCTTGGTTTTCACTGGAATTTTGGGGGGAGGAGAGCTACATGGCAAGTGATTTAATAGATTTTTCCAACTTGGCAGTGATAGAAAGTTTCCTTTTAAAAAAGTTTATGAAGGGGCGCTTGGGTGGCTCAGTCAGTTAAGCGTCTGCCTTCGGCTCAGGTCGTGATCCCAGGGTCTTGGGTTTGAGTCCTGCATCAGGCTCCCTGCACAGTGGGGAGCCTGCTTCTCCCTCTCCCTCTGCCTGCCACTCTGCCTACCTGTGCTTCCTCTCTGTCAAATAAATAAATAAAATCTTAAAATAAAATAAAATTAAAAAACCAAAAAAGTTTATGAAAGTATAAAAAGTGAGTTGAAAAAAGACATTAAGTAAAGAGAGGACAATAATACCCCAATAAGGCAAAAAGCTCAAAGAATGGTCCATAAATGCCATGTTTGGGAGACAGAGGGCTAGGTCCTCTCTAGAGCTGGTTAGCAAACCTGTATGCACTTCCCACCCATTCCTCACCCCCTAGAGCATCCTATTCTTTGTGTATTTACCAACCACTTTGTACAATACTCATTAAGGGCCATACGCTATGCTAAGTGCCTCACAAGACTTATTTCACTTAATCCTCACCACCCTACAAGGTAGATGCTATTATTATCCTCATTTTACAGGCACAGGGACTGAGACACAGAGAGGTTAAGTAGCTTGCCCAGGGTCACACAGCCCGGAAGTGGTGGGGCTAGGATTCGAATCCAGGTGCTACCAAGATCTGACTGCAGTGTGGCCAACAGGGGACCCAGCAATGTGGGCGCACCCTGAGCGCCTGGCACGCTGGACCTGGAGAAACATCTGTGTTCTCCACCAGCCTGGGAGCCTCTGGGGAGTAGAGATGTGGTCTTTTACCTCCTCAGTGCCGGTGTTTAGCACACAGTAGGTGCTTCTTAGCGTTGATGGAATGCATGAAGCCAAGTAATTGATACAATTTTGCTGAGCACCTGCTGCGCACCAGCACTAAGCATTTTACATTTAATGAAGGTAGAGTTGTTCCCCTTTTCAGAGGGGCAAACTGAGACTCTGAATGTTTGCCATATGGGCCGGCTAAGAGCGAGAGCCAGGACTCAAACCCAGACCTCACTCCAGTGGAGGAATGGGAATGGGATGTGGATATTGGGCACACTGAAATCTGACAGAGAAGCACCAAGGCTGGGAGGAAGAAAGCCTGGCTGACCTCCATAGGCTTGGGAGGAAACGTCTCGGGGGGAAAGGTGGGATGACAAATAAGGGCAGCAAATGCAGGAGGTGGGGGCACCACCTCAGCCCCTTTCCTGCTACTTTACTTACCCAGAAATCCACCAGAACATGACCCTGGAGGGGAAGGAAGCTTCAGCCTCTGGACATGGGTTCTGTAAAGACAAGAGTCGGGGTGGAGGGAGGACTCGATCTCGTGTTCCATGGCCAACGTAAGGCAAGGGAACCAAGGTCAGGAAGACAGGAGGAACGGTCCATGAGCTTGGTCCCGAGAGTGCTCATTGACATGCCCTGCCTACTTGGCGGAGGTGCTTGGTGCTTCCTAGCAGGCAAGGCGAAAAGGGACTACGCCACAAGTCTGACAGCATTCACAAGAACTGTTTCCCAGAGGAACAACTGTTACGAATACTGAGACCAAGAAGTTCTCAAAGCAGGAGCATGCATGACACAGACACTAACATCCTCGACCATATCCCTCAGGGAATACGGCGAGAAGATGCAGAGGGATCCGTCCTGAGACCCTGCCAGAAAATTCCCATGCATCTATGCCCTTCACCAACAGGGCACAAGACTCCCTATGTCACCATATGTGTACCATTATGGCTCATTATCAATTTTTGATTTTTTTCTTCCATTCTCCTAGAACAAAAAAGCTCTACCGGAGTTTTCACTTGATTACTCGCATAGCTGAGCTTTTTTTTTTTTTTTTTTTTTTGAGGCGATCTCTCCCTCAGAATTCTTTCCTGATTTCACAGGCTAGCTCAGGGCTCCCTGTTGTCAACTCTCGTGGGCCATGAATTCCTCCTGCAGGGCCCCAGTGGTAATTTCGCACGTGTTTGTAGAATTCATGTGGTTAACGTCTGGTTCCTCGACTTGGCTGTTAGCTGCGTGGGGATGGGGACTGCATCTGCTTGTTTACCCTAGGTCCTCAGCACCTAGCTGGGGCACAGAGCATGGGCTGACAGCCTGCAGCCCCCTGGCCCAGATCTGGCACACTGCCTGTCTCTGCAAATAGTTTTATTGGAACACAGCCAAGCTCACGCCACAACAGCAGAGTTGAATGTCAGAAGAACCATTTGGCCCACAAAGCCTAAAACATTGTCTGTCTTGCCCTGATCAGAAAAAGTGGGCCAACCCATGGCATAGAGTAGATATACAATACTCATTCTGCTGAATGAAAGAATGAATGAAACATTATGAAAGGCTTGTGCTCTAGTCTAGCTCCCTTCTGTCCCATGGGGAGACCGAGACCAGAAGTGGAACAGGGACAAGGGAGGCACCGGGCTGGAGGCACGGCAACTTACAGACTGCTGGGGGTCTTCAGGGAAGAAGGGTGGGTGATCGACAAGGCAGGACAGCACAAACTGGGCTACCACCAGCGACAAGCACAGGTAGGTCGACAGGTGGTAGAAGGGGTCGCTCTGGAAGCCCTGTGGAAGAGAAAGCAGAAGTCCCACTGAGTCTGGAATGCTGAAGTCCGTAGCCTGAGCAGCAGTCTTTTTATTTTTTTTTTATTTATTTTTTTTAATTCTTATGTTAATCCCCATACATTACATCATTAGTTTTAGATGAAGTGTTCCATGATTCATTGTTTGTGCATAAGAGCAGCAGTCTTTATAGGCATTGTTTCAAGTCCCTCCCTACCCTGACCCTAGCTGGAGTCTCCTTGTTCTGTTCACTCATGTGGAGACTGGGGCTCAGAGAAGCGACAGCACCTTGCTCAAGGGCACACAGAGGATCTGATCCAAACCACAAGCTTTTGCTGTCACGCCACGCCATGATTGCTTTGACGTCCGTTGCCCCTCCAGTCAGAGCCCCTTAACTTGTTTTCCCATGCTCAGGTATGTGGTTTATGCAGAACTGACTCCATTCCAGTCTGGGCAGGTGACTGAGGTCTGATCAAGGAGAATGTTCCAGTCCCCTGGCTACTGTGATTGCGTTAGGAATGGATGCTGGACCCACACCGGGCCGATGAGAGCTAGAACCATCGGGAGATCTTCCATCCAGTTTGCTACACTGGAGGAACATAGGTCTGGAGCAATTGGTGGCTCTTGTTGCCTCCCCACTGGGGAGTGAAGCTAACATGGCAGAGCCAAGAGACAGAGGGAAAT